ACAGGGCAGGGGCGGCTGCTGTGAAGGCGGATGGGACGGCGCTGCCTCTGCAGGCGGCAGGTCCACTTACCACGGGCCCGGAGAGGGAGCTCAGGTAGGCCGCCTTTCTGTGGTGGGGGAGCCGGTAGTTCTGGTAGAGGGTCATTCCATACTGCGGGCCAGAGCCAGAGTCAGTGCTGGTGTGGGGGGGGGGGGCGGGGGCGGAGCCCCCGCGGGGCCCCTCACACCCAGTTCACTCTGCTTTTCCCAGAACAGGCCATACATGTGCACACCAAACACATCACCCAAGTACGGGCACCTTCACCGTTGCCCCCCACCTCTGCTCTCCCCAAATCTCTACTTTCTCCGTCCACTAGCGTCTACACCAGTGCTTCCCAGCCTGGGGTACACGTCCCACGGGGGGCAAATGGACTCTTAAGGGGGGCAATTCGAGAGTGAGTTATTAACCATGAATTTTCTGCATTTCTTATGGTTCTAGGGGCCTCATATACAGTATGTAAATAAAAACTGTGACATGTTTATGCATTTCAGCTATTACATGTTTTGAAACTTTGCTGTTTTTTCCTATCACTTCGTATTATTTTTTAAACAAGTCCTTAGTGAGGTCTTCCTCAGGACTTCCAGTCCTTTCCTTCTTTTATTTTCCTCTCTCATGGACGCCATGTTCTCTGGAAGCTTGCTGAGACCAAGTGAATGGCCTTAGGCTTCCTCCCTGTGAACAGGAGCTCGCTGTTTGAGTAATTAGGGTTCTGTGCCCCGGGGGGGGGGGGGGGGGGGGCGTGGCCAAAAGAAGGCTGGGAAGCACACGGGGTCCCTCCTGCCCCCCTGCGCCTCTGCACACACTGCTCTGGGCTGCTCTGGGCTGCTATTCACTCCGTGTCCACAGGGGGACCCAGCGAGCTGCCTCCTGCCTTTTGGCTGCAGAGTGCTCCCGTGGATGTGGATGGACAGCCTGAAAGCCCTCAGCCAGCCCTGACGGACGTTTAGCTTCAGAAGTGGCCTGGGAAGGAGTCGGACACCCCATCTCAGCACCCCCGTTTCTAGGAAACGGTAAGTTATAATTTTGGACCCTCCGTCTCACCAGTGGCAGACATCACACAAACCAAGGTCTGGGGCAGAGACGCGGGAGCCCGTGCGGGGCTGTCCCGTGCGTCCCGAGGGAGTCTGTGCGGAGCCTCCGCTGCCCCCGCTTCTCACGGTGGCTCCGCCTGGAGCCTGCCCATCTGGGAGCGGTGGGGGGCTGGGGGCTTAGTGATGAGCTTCCCGGACCACGCCCTGTGCTGGCGCCAGGTCAGCGAGCCAACTTCCCTCCAGATCCCTGCCCGGCCAAGCGCCTCCTGACCCATCACAGGCGTGGGCTTTGTGAACACAGGGCTGGGAGAGACGTGGGGTCCGAGGGCTGTTTGCTCCCATGTGTGTGGGGATGGAAGGTGAGGGGGGCTCCCGCCTCCCAGGCGCCCTGTTACTGAAGAGCCTGGGACTCGCTGTGGCCTCTGCTGAGAAGCTGCCGTCTGGGGCACAGTCCCCAGGAGTCCCACCCCATCAACTTCCTTCAGAACTCACTGCCTGCGGCACCCCGGCCCTGGCCCCCGCTCGGCTGTGACGCTGAGTCACGTGTGCCTGGGGACCCCTGGAGTCTCATCGTTGGCCAGGAAAGCAATTCACCCTCCCGTGAGCTCCCTGCGCCCGACTCTTGGTCCTTCTCTCCCTCTTCCCATCGCTCTCACCCACACCCCTGGCCCTCCCCCTGACCCTATGCCCCGGGCACACATGGTACTGCCTAGAGCAGCCGTGGGCAAACTATGGCCCGCGGGCCAGATCCGGCCCGTTTGAAATGAATAAAACTATTGAAAAAAAAGACCGTACCCTTTTATGTAATGATGTTTACTTTGAATTTATATTAGTTCACACAAACACTCCATCCATGCTTTTGTTCCGGCCTCCGGTCCAGTTTAAGAACCCATTGTGGCCCTCGAGTCAAAAAGTTTGCCCACTCCTGGCCTAGAGGCACTCGAGGTCGGCTCACCTAGTAGGGGTGCTAGGGCACCGAGTGGGGAGACCAGGGATGCTACGTGTCCCACCTGCACGGGCCCACACCCACCCCATGTGCAGTGCCCAGGTCGGCCCCTGGCTCTGCCCTCCCCCTGGGAAGCCTCTGGGAGAAGCTCCCCAAACCCCGCGTGCAAGAAGGGTGACGGCCCCCGATAATCAGAGCCTGGACGGAGCAGGTCGGGGGCACGCCTCGCAGGGACAGACGCACGTACCTTGAGCAGCCGGAACGCGGTCATCCAGCAGATGCGGCCCTGCTCGTCCTCCGCGCACAGCACCCGCAGCTCCTTTGTCTCCTGCAGGACTTTGTTTGGCTTTTAAAGGAGGGAAAGGGAGACGTGGTGAGTGTCCCAGAGCCAATCAGAAGCCCGCCTCGGGCTCGGGCAGACCGGGGCTGCACTCACACACACAGATTGGCTGGGCGTCCCCACAGGGGCCCCTCGGAACCTCCACGCCCTCCCCGGGGCCTCTGTGCTCCCCCAGGACGGACACATCCTCACACACAGGAAATCTCTTTACACGGATGAATCGATCCAGTGTGAAAGCATGTTACTGGTTTTAGAAAAAAGCAGCAAGCAAGGGAGAATGCACAGTTTGAATTCCAAAGCGGCCAGTGGGGCCCACGCTGGCTGCAGGGCCACAGGGACGGAGGTACCTTCAGGCAGAAGCCGAACTCCGTGGGGGTGTGGTACTGCTTCTTGCCGGAGATCACAGAGAAGACGCTGCAGTCATCCAGGTCGGCCAGCAGCTGCAAGTGCCTGGGCTCCTGAGAGGGAGGAGGCAGCGTTTAGCCGGGACGGGACTGGCGGCTCCTGTCCTGGCCGACAGAGGGCAGGCTGCGCGCCTCCCGCAGACAGAGACATTCCACAGGGCACAGCAACGTGGAAGAGAATTGCTGAGTGAAAACCCAAGTCGCCCTGCCCCCACCAGAAGCCCCTCCCCGTTCCTAGACAGAAGAGGGCAGAATGGATTTGGCACTCTGCCAAGTCAGAGCCCAGAACCAAATGTCCAAAGCGCAGAGGGGGGGACTCAGCCTGAGGTCAGCACAGGCTCCAAGGCAGGTCCCATGCCACCTCCCTGTGTGGGCAGCTCCCACAGCCCCCCCCCCCCCCATCAGCTCTGCCTCCAGCTCCAGCACACAGGTCCCTAGGCGCAGCGTCTCCAGGACGGGGAGTGAGCCAGGCGCCGGAGCTAGGCGCTGGGAAAGGGACCTGCCCCATCTCCATCGGAGGAAAGACACTCCTCGCAGAGGAAGGCGCCCCGCCGCCAAAAATCCTCCAGACAAGAGCAGAGGCCTCAGCGCTTAAGAGGTAAATGCCCGGCCGAGGCCCCTGGGCCCGGCTCCCACCGCTGGGTGGACGTGGACATGAGGAGGTGCAGAGACCCACGGGGCCCCAAGCGTGGGAAGCTGCGAGGCCACAGCTCGCTCTGGAAGCCGCAGCTGCCTGCACCTCTCCTGCCCTCTTCCCGGTGGCATTTATTCCCTAGGACGTCTGTAACCGCATGAGTCCCCTCTGCCTTAGGACGGAGCGAGTCCTCAGCCTCCAGCTGGCTGGGGCCTGAGGGGGAGGGGTGCAGCCTGCAGGTTCTAGGTCTGTGTGATCACCCACGGTCTCAGCCGGAGCCCAGGTAGCCTGGAGCTCCCAGGGGCCCAGGGAGGCCCGCCCACTCTGCACCCGGCCTGCCGGTGGCGGAGCTCACCTTAGAGGAGCCCTTGGTGGAGCAGTAGAGGCCGGACCTGCGCAGGCACAGGTACATCTTCTTCCAGGACTTGCGCCCCAGCTCCTTCACGTGCAGGAACCCTTGAATCTCGGGGCAGCTGCTGGTGTTCAGGAAGTTCTGTGAAGGCAGGTGTGGGAATCAGGGGCTCAGACACGGTCACAGATGCACGACCAGCTTCCCTGACGCTGGCATTTTCTGAGTGAGTGACCAAGGGACTCTGTCTAGGGGTCAAGGGGGATTTTCAAACAATAAGCTTGCTTTTAAGTCTCCACCGCCCCGATTGGTGCTGAGGGGCCAGAATTCACGCTCAAGTGGACCCTGCAATGCAGACAAGGCACAGGCCCCGCGTCCCTGTGAGAGCAGAGCCACCCCGTGTCCTCACCTCCACGACGTCTGACCAAAAGCCGCCCCACGCAGCGCAGGCGAGGAAGTGCCCTGCCTTCCCTCCCTGGGAGCCCCGTGTGCATCTGCACACCAGCTCTCCCAGGACACCTGGGGGACAGCCAGTGCCCAGCGGACTCCTCCCCTGGGAGAGGCCCAGAGCCTCTGGGGGTGAGGCCGGAAGGACTGGACTGAGAGGGGACACATGGACAGTTCGGATGCACCTGGGCCCACCCTCCAGGAGCCACTTCAGATCAGGCGCTTAGAGCAGCCACCAGCCTCATGGCCAGGGCTGTGCGTGGGCCACGACCCGTAAATGCTGCTGGGGCCGGAGGGCCTGGGGAGAGGCCTGGACGGGGCTCCAGGGCTCCGAGGGTCCTCTCAGGGGCAGAGATGCCTGGTGACCAACCAGCAGAAAAAGAGGGCTAGGGGCTGGATCCTGCCGGCCCCCTCCCACGGCTCCTCTTACACGAGGTGGAGGCGCAGCATGGCCGCCTGCACGCACGGCTCACTGTCACTCACAGCTGCACATGCACTGAGGGCAGCAGTGTGTTCCCTCTTCCGTTCCCGCCTTCCCTGGAGCAGCACAAGCCTCCTGAGGCCAGTGCTCCCCCCAGCGCAGGGGTGCAGGAGGCCCCGGTTTCTAGGCCCAGACTTGACCAATCAGATGAGCGTGCCATGGGATCTGTGATGAGCTGGGAGCCCGTGGCCCTCCATTCTGCCCTTGCCCCCTCCCCCTTCTGAGCCACGGCAAGTTTGTCCTGCCCACAGGGCTCTGCTCGCCCTGGAGGAGCCGGCCTCCAGCGGATTTCCCGCGTCAGCATGAATTTCTCGTTTCTCTAAACTCCATTAGGAACTGAGGCTGATCCGTGATTAAGAATGGAATCGCTCCACGTTTTTGCGAGGCCGTGGCAGCTCCAGGGAGGACGCTGGCCTGGAACCTGAGGCCCGTCGGCCCAGTACCTGCAGGAGCTGGTTCTGGCCGCCGTTGGACTGCTGGCACCAGGTGACCATCTGGTCCGGGAAGAAGTTCTGCAGAAGCGGGAACACAGACGCCACAGGTCAGTTTGGGGCGGGGAAGACCATGCTCACAGGTGTGCGGGGCGGCCACCCCCACAGCGGTCACATCGCCCGCACTGTGCACGCCCTCCTGTCCCGTGGACGTGGGAGTGCCTGCTGTCTGCTCAGTGGCACCGAGGCAGAATGCGAGTCACGGCACGAACCACACCGCTCCGGCGAACGGTGAGTGGTCACGCGCCGTCTGTTTGGGGCGCACCATTTCTCACTTCTGCACGCAGAGCCACGAAGCCACCAGAGCGAGTGGGCCCAGCCTCCTGCCCGGGTCCCCCTCTGCCTCAGGGCCGTGCAGAAGCACACGGCGCAGGCCCAAGGCCTGTCCTGGTGTTTCACCAGATAAGCACCCCCCACCCCAACCCCCCAAAACCAGGAAAGCCAAGACACACCCGGAGACTCGTCAACACGCCTGGATGGTCACTGCCCTACTTGTCCCTCCACAGGGGTCACCAGGTGAGCAAGCTCTCACCCTGCGGAGTCTCGGGCTGACGCTGCAAGGCCGGCGCCTAACCCCCCTCCCCGTGGGGAAGGCGCTGCCTCGGCCGCGCAGGCAGAGTCCCGCCGGGCGGAAGGTGCTTCGCTACACCGCGACCCCAAGGCCACTGCCCGCCACCCTGAGTCCCAGCTCCGCTCCGCTCTGCTCCTATGACATCCAAGTGCCGATGGCGGGACCCCGAGTTCCATCCCCGAGCCGAGGAGACAGGACTCACGGTGGGGTTTTTGAAGAACTCGTATTTGCCATAATTCTTCCTGAATAAGAATTTGCTTTCGCCGGCCATGGTGCTGTCCACCTGGGCCACCAGCTCATGGTCTTCCAAGCAGCGCTCTGGGTGGAAAAGTGTGCATGTGAGAAGGGAGCGGACACGCAGGACCTGAAAAGGCAGCTTTACACACAGCCACGCCATCTGGCCGGCTCTCCTGCCACGGACATGGCAAGTGAGTGAAGAAGTGGAACGGAGCTCCATGCACATCTCCCTCGAACGCTCTGCCGAGCGCGGGAGGTGGCGAGACATGGACGGGGGCTTCCTCTCCACGCGGCGCTGACACCAAGGGAGGAAGAGAGTCACACCCTCCCGGCAAAGGCTGTGCCTCAAGTCAGAAGTGCCGGCTCTTGCTGAGCACCGGCCACCACAGCTGGAGCACAGACCGCAGAGCACGGCCCTGGGTGCCGGGGGTGAAGGGGGGGGCAGGGGGCAGAGGAGCAGAGGGGTGCCCTCCTGGTCTGAGGCCCTTGGTCCCTACACCCAGGAAAGGGCTGGGAGGAAGGGAACACTTGGGGAGATAGGGAGGAGGCAGAGGCCACGGCGGTGGCTGCACGCGGAGCGCGGGCGCTGCCCCTACCGATCCCCAGGTGGGGGTGGAACTCCACCAGGGTCCAGCTGTTGTCGTCCACGCAGTGGCTGCGGTACACCAGCAGCTGGCACAGGTCCCGGGACTTCATGTCCACCGGAATCTCCACCACCTTGCAGGTCCCGTCCTCACCGAAGATTTTAACATCCTGCAACAGACGGGGCTCACAGTGAGCAGCTGCAGGGAGTGGCTTGTCTGATCTCCACTGTTAAAACTTGCATTATCCAAACTTTTGACAAAGGAAAGCTAACGCCACACCGCGGGCCCTGGCGCTCTGAGCCCGTTTCCGGTGCTGCAGCCATGGAGCCCACCAGGGCATTTCCCCCGTTTCTGAAGAGACCGAGCAGGCCGTCTAAAAAAGCTAGTTCTGTTTTTAAATGAGTGATGGAAAAGTAAACTTGAAAGGTGGGCTTATTAAGAAATAAAAACGGAACAAAATAAAACAGAAAAAGGAAGGCCCGAAGTGCTCCAACATATGTATTACTGTCCCCCCAGCAGCTGGTCTGTAGAGCGTCGCCCGTCCCCATCCACCACCTCCCACCGCCACCCCTGCCCTGACAGCCAGGAGCCCAGCAGGGCCCCCTCCACGTGCCCGGGGCACTCAGGACAGGCCCGCGGTCAGGCCCAAGGGACACAGGGCTTCCCCTCGTGCTGTCTCAGGAAGCAGGACGTGTGTCAGGGATGTCGGTGCTGGGGTGAGGCCCTTCACAGTGCGGCCAACTACAGAATCCCTGCCTCCTGTGACTCCATGCCCTCGCTGTCTGGGGCCCAGCACACCGGCCCCCCAACCTCTCCCGTCTCATGTCCACTAAGGCTTAGGGAGAAGTTGAGCAGGATGAATGTGAGTTCACTGAAATGTGAAATTAGACTAAAGAGACGCGTGCAATGAAAGCACAGTCACAAACGCTGTGGCCCCGTTTTCCGGGTCTGGTCCAAAGCCCTTCAAACGGAGCCCCCCGACCCCCCACCCCCGGGAAAGGGGAGCCGAAGAGCCTGGAGGCTGTGAAATACACTCTGTCCAGCAACACACCCGCAGCCTCTTGGGGGGCACGAGATGCTGAAAAAATCGCACCCCAACAGCCTGGAGAAAGCAGGCAGAGCAACAAGATGGCATTTTAATACTTGCTGCCTCTTGAAAGGGAGTCTGTCCCCGGCCTCTCCCACCCTCCTGTGGGCTGGGCCCCCTCCCCGCGGACCCGCCAATCCTGGCTGTGGGGAGCGGTGGGCAGGCTGTCTCCAGGCAGACAGGGTGCTGCCCAGGCTCCTGGGCTCTGTCCTCTAGGTGGTAAATCAAGCCACCTGGGCAGCCAATCAGGTCCCTCCCGGGGCCTCTGCACCCGCCCCCTGGCTCCCACCCCATGGAGGCTGGAGCTGCCTGCAGAGGTGGAGGTGGCCACTCCAGGGGCCACTGAGCTCAGACCAAAATGCCAGGGAGCCCCTGTGCCTGTCCCAGGCGCGCAGAGCGTGTGCTCTGGCTCAGAAGTCGGCGTCCCTGCGCCTCGTGCCCCCGGGGCAGCGTCAGGCCCTGACACGCTGGCCACAGCTCTGCCCCACAGCTCTGCCCCGTCACCTTTCTCATGAAATCCCTGACCAAGAGCGCACGTTGGTGTGTATTTCTACTGAGAGGCCTCTGGCAGGAGAGGGCTGGTCGCGATAGAGTCCCACTGTCCCCAACCGCCCACAGCTCCTGGCCCGAAGGAGTTAAGCTCACTCAGCCCCAGCTCCCAGGGGGGGAGGCTGTGGGCCGGACCACCCTCCGGTGGGCGGGTCCCACCTCTCAGCCGCCCCCATCTCAGGAACCTGGGGGGAGGGGGCTAGAGCAGGGCTGTGGAGCCTGCTTTCAACTCACGTTAATTTTTAAAGAAATTCACCCATCTTTTTCCAGAATTTACATTTCACTCAACGGAAGTTACACTTTTATAAAACACATTAAATATTCAAATACAGCTGACACGATGGACTCTATAAAAATAAAATTTAAATAAAGAAAATACCTCTTTGGTCTCTATATAAAAACTTTTCTTAAAACTGCCTTTACATAAAAGAAAAACGAATTTAAAAATGCAAACAAAGCCATATAATCCCTCATCATATAATAATGACAACAACAACGATAATAGTAACATGCTAACTGTATTACACACCACGGCTGGCTTCTACGCAAAGCACCTTCTGAACTACAAAACCAGTGTGTCCCTAATTGTCCTTCTTTTTTAACTTTCTAAGAGAATCATCTGTGATTACAATAAATGTTATTTTCTCTCGAAATTCAAATAATGCTGAAGTGTGTTTTGCACCTAGGAGTCCATTTATCACTTTTCCTGCCCAAACTGGCCCTGGGGCTTTTTAAACCGCCCCCTCTCCCCTCCCCCCTCCGACACACACACACACACACACTCTCTCTCTCTCTCTCTCTCTCTCTCTCTCTCTCTCTCTCCTCCAGCTCTCTCCTGACCTCCTGCTGTGCCAGGCCACCCAAGGTCTATATATAGTCTGGGTATTAAAAGCTGAGACGTGCTTTGTCACAGGGCCATGTCCACTGATTCCCAGGGGGGGCCGGGCTGGGGGCCGCCTGGGGGCAGGGGAGCGGGCCTGCTGCAGTCCTGTGGCCGAGACAGACAAAGGGACGCATGGTCCAGCCACAAGACCTGCAACCCACGCTGCCCGCCCTGTCCCTGACGCAGGGCACGTCCCCTACCCAGCAGGCCTGCTGACAGAAACCTAGAAAGCCACTGCACGTACCAGGAACTTCCAGGTGGGCACGGGGCTGGAGCTACAGGGACAGCATCTCTAATAAATACACAGACACAAAGGGAGGTGCTGCCGGTACAGCCTGCTGCCGGCCACCACGCCTCTGAAAGCCAGAAGTTCCAGAGGGAGCACCGTGCACCCAGCCACCGGGGGCCCATTGTGGAAGCAACGCGAGTGTTCCAGGCTTTGGGGCCCCAACCTGGCCGAGGGCCGCGGGGAGCAGGCTGCGCCCCAGTGAGGCCTGTGCAGGGCGGCCCAGGCCCCTGCCTGCCACAGCTCAGCGGGCTGGGAGCAGATCTCGACTTGGGCAGTTTCCCAGGGGGTGACTTGTCCAGGGACAGAGACCCAGGTGATGTTAGGATGGTGAAGACGCGGAGGGCAGACTCCCAGTGCCAGCGCGGCTCAGCGACCTCCGTCAGGTGACTGGCGACCTGGGCCTCACTTTCCCCCATGCCCGGGGGCTGCTGGGAGAGCCAGCAATGACGGGGAAGCACAGAGCTCAACAGGTGGGACCTGCGGAGGCTCCATGCTCAGCCTGGCTGAGTGCCCCGCCGCTCTGTGCCTCAGTCTCCTTATCTGTAAAATGGGCACCTGTGAGTAACACTGGCTCATGACGGCAGCCTGGCCTGGCTAATGACAGCCACTGCTTTCTGCGCCCTGGGGTGCACTCGAATGCAACTGGGAATACCCACGTGGGAACAAGGCAGGCACAGGGAGGCCCTGGGACCCCGGCAGCCGCTTGGCTCCGAGCTGCTCTGACTCTGAACTGGTTGGCAATTCTGAGAACATCCGTTGCTGGCCCGTAAGATGGGGCGGCAGCACCGCAGCCAGAAAAGCGGGCCGGAACCCTGGCCTTTTCCCCCTGCAGTCACCCAGTGGCTAATGGCCTTTCACAATAAAACGCTGACATTAAATGGGGCACGTGATGTCACAGCAGAGCCTCTCTTCAGGGTCAGGTGGGGGTGGGCGAATGCTTTCCGGCTCCCGCCTCCTGCTGGGCGTGGCGCTGCTGCCTGGCACGGAACCCTGAGCCCCAGGCGACGCATGTCCACCCTGCCCAGGGCTCTGGTGTTGCTTTCAGACACTCCTCACACCGACTGAGAAGCAGAAGCTCACATGTGTGCCAATGGAAGGGCAGGAACTTGGTAACCATCAGGGCTGAAGGTCCATGATCTCCACAGGCCCACCCTACATTCTGGGTAGCCCGGTTTTTTGTCTCGGGGTCCCCAACGGGTGGACTCCCACTTCAGGCCCAACACACCGAGCCTGCTGACCTCACCTCCGGGCTCCGGCCCAGGTCACCTGGTGAACACAGAAATGGGGCTCTTGGCTCCTCGCACCAAGCACCACCCGGTCCCCGTGCGGGATGGACAGCTCTGGACGGAGAGCCGCCCTGTGCGTCGAGGGGGCCCAGGAGAGGCCCTGGGCTCTACTGCACAGACACCAAAGAGCTGGGCGCTCCCGGCCAGCTCTCAGCTCTTCACTTTCATCACCTCCAAGTGAGGACGTGAGCTGGACCCCTGTCACTCGGAGCCTCTTATAAAAACGGGGGGCTAGATGCTTATGGAAGAGCCAGCCTGGGTCCCAGCAGCCAGGAGGGGCCCGGGAGGGGGTCAGCGGGGGAAGCAGGCTGACTGCCAGGGGGCGGGGGCGGCTGAGGGAACTGGAGGAGCTACGAACCCGTGGGGGGGCTCTGAACCCAGGGCGCTGGGCTGCTGGCCCCTTCCTGCCAGCAAGATGTTCAGCACGGGACTCCCCCTGCCAGGAGGGACCCCAGCTTCCCAGGACCACCAGGCGGCTCCCTCTGGGGTGCCCCAGAGGCCCCAAGGAGCAGGCCTAGCACGTCGGAGGAAAGTAAGTGTACGTCAGGCCAGGGCAGACCAGGGTCAGGCTGGTCAGTTCGGTGAGAAAACGTAGTTCTGCTGATGTTCCAGTCCTGCTCCACATCAGCCCCACTGCTGCGGGCCGTGAGGCCTGTAGGGAGCTCACCGCGTGCGCATGTGGCTGTGATCACCATCACTGTCCGGCCCGCCTCCCGCCTCCAACGGACTCTGAAAGAACCACTGCCTCACAGCCTCCTCATCGCAAGGTCTCCGTGAGAAGAGAAAATACGGAGCCTTTGCAAGTCCCTCCTAAAGAAGTTAAAGCTCTAAAAATAACCTGCACAACAGTTCCTGGAAGTCAGCCAGGACTTCAGAGTCCCTGGGCGCTGCCCCGGAGGAATGGCGCTCACCACCAGGGCGGCGACAGGGCCCAGCGCGGAGGCCGGCCTCTGCCTGCTCCGTCCCCACCAGGTGGGCTTGCTTGCCAAGAACCAATTTTGGTCTGTTCACCTGTATCCTTTCAGCTTTTCTAGAATGGATGTGTACGGCCTGCTGCTGTGACAACAGCAGTTTTTGTAAAGGTGTTCTACAGAAAACAAGAATAGGGCATCTTGAAAACCTCCCTGGGGGCCTGAGGGGAGGAGCAGACCCCCCCCCCCCGCCGCCCTGAAGCTGAGTGCAGGGTGCAGCCGCCCTCCAGGCCTCAGCTTGCTCACAGGGGCACAAGTGCCACCCTGGCGAGTCTGCAAGGAACTCTCAAGGATTCCTAGCGGGGTCCCTGCCAAGCACAGGCAATGCCCTCTAAACTCGGGGTCCCCACCACACGGTCAGGGTCCCAGCCCACAGACCTGCCCGGTGGCGCACGCGGCAGGGGTGGCAGCAAGGGCGCCATGTGGGTGTGGGCCTGTTTGCCAGGCGAGGCTGTGCTCACATCCCCTACGAGTGATGAAGTGCGAAGTGGACGTGCGTTTGGCCCACTGAGCCCTGCTGGTTGGCTCAGCTTGCAGCTGCTGCCCATCGGGCAGGTCTCTGGGTGGGGCTGTCACAGCTGCTGCTGAGAACTGGTCAGTGACCAGCCCCTGAAGGAGGGGGACAGGCCTGCAGAGTCCCCAGGGCTGGAGCTGGGGCTCTGGGTGCAGCCCCAGGAGGAGAGGAGAGGCAGGGACCCGCAGGGCCACCCAGAAATGGCCAAGGAAAAGAAATAGTCTTTGTTGAACTAACTTCCTCAGAGAGTTGGTAACTAAATGTTCCATTTGCATATTGTAATCTTAAAAGCCAACAAAAATGGTTTATATTCTTTCTCTAGAAAATCGTCCAGGGAAGCCACATGACTGGCTGTGGTGGCCAAAAAATAGAGGAGGATTTGAGTGTGACCCTCCCTCCAAATTCCAGAGGAGAGGAGTGGGGGTGGAGACAGGAGTCCATGTTGCAGCTGCAGCAGCTGCTCCCAGCAGGCCACGTGTGCAGGCCAGCAGCCTGGAGGTGTGGAGGGAGGCCTGGGGCCCGGGGAGGGCTGGGCGGAGAGAAGAGGGGAATGATGAGGAGCGAGGGGCCCCTGGGAGGGGATACAGCACACACTGTCTGAGTCATCCCCTGGCCCTTGGACTCCGGGCCCCTCCAGGGGTGGGGCCTGGGGGGGTGGTGAGGAAGTGGCAGCTGTCCACCCATCACTCACAGAAAACAGGCAGCAAGGGGAAGGCAGGAAAGGGAGCCAGTTGGGGGGGCGAGGAAAGAGGATTTTATGTTCTAAAACGACAGGGACATGCCGGTGAGTCTCGGGCTGGCCCTGGCTCTGGGACGGCCATCATGGCCACTCCGGGACACAGCTGCTCCTGTCCTGCGGGCGGCGAGCCCTGCTCTCCGGGATCCTGGCAGACAACCCTGTGACTCTGCTGAGTGTCCAAATGCGGGAAGCGCAGGCGCACAGCTACCCACTCAGGGGCCCTGGGCCGCCAACACGCGGGTTCGGCCTCAGTGAGCCCCTGGTTCTAACGGATTCTGACCTCGAAGGCACCAGCAAAGGCGGGTGGGCACACTGCAGGGGCTAAGAAGAGAGAGCTGGGCGCATTGGCATGAGGGCTGGGTGGGGGGGGCGGGGCACTGAGGAAGGAGGAGTCTGGCTCCAGGACGCCACGGAGGCCCTGACG